GGGGGGGGGTAGATTAGTTGACGTCAACAATCATCTTTTCTCTTTTAAAATTTTTTATCTTAAAAATTAACTGGTTATGAGGCTATATTATTTCAACAAAATTTATTGAGTGTAAATTAAAATAGTTACATAATTTGTATGCTTTTAACAATGTAAGATTTATTTAATGTGTGTCTGTCTTGCACTGCTGATGGCTGGTCAATTTAGTTATGCAAGAGAAGTCAAACGTTTCCCTCTCTTTGACCATAGAATCTACTTGTCACAAATTACTATGGCGGTATGTTTGCGGTCATGTTGCAGGTATGGAACAAGGAAAAGGTTCAAGAGTCATGTGCGGTCAAGATAAATGGTATCGATAGAGTAGGAATATGATATTTTGAGAATGAGGGGAAAGTAAAGTGAGTAACAATAATAACAGCACTGACAATGCATACGAAATTACTAAATTACCACCTGCTCCTCAACAAAAATGGATTCGACTAATGCAAATAGCTGCCAGGAGACAGAGAGAGCTTATGGCAATCATTGCTCAACATGACAATACTTCTATTTTAAGTAAAGAATGGTTAGATGAGTATGATGTTGACTTGTCTGGTATGTTAGTTCAGCAAGATGAAAATGATAAATCAGCTGCTATACCCATTGTTACGATAGAGCAACACCAGGCTACTCCCTGTGGAGATGATAGCAGCTAGAAACTATGCTACAATTGTCAGCTATACTGACAATAATCGTATTTCTACTTCCACAAACAATGATATTTAGTCTTTTACAACCTTTTCATTTAACTTGTTGATTTAGTTAAGATGCAATAAAATGTATTTCCTGCAATTTTGTGTTATAAAAATAGATCACTGCAAAGTAAAATGTATTTATATATTTATTTATATTATAATGTATTTATTTATTTTTANACTTGGGGGGGGGGGGGGTCCACAGAAGTTTGACAGTTGTTAAACAAAGGGAGGGGAGGGGATCAAAAATTACTTTAAAATTGTTGACGTAATCAATGGACGGCCCCTAAATAAAACAATTTGAACGTATGACATCCACATTAAATTAAGGTCAAGTGTTAACGGCCTGTCCGTAACTTTACGAACGGTCGGCAACCCTGAGTTGTCGAGTTAGAGAAACATATTTTATATACCAATCCTATTATTTACTCATGGCGTCATTGGAACTTCCACTGAATTGGAAGTACCCGTTTCAGCATTATTCTAAAAAAAAAGATGAGGTATTTCCCGTTTGCCTTTTGATTTTTTAATAAATAATTAAATAATGTTTCCTTGATAACAATTCATGCCAATTAAATATTTAATGCAGAAGATAATGCCAATTAAATCTTTATATTTCGCATTTTCAATTAATTTTAATATTTTAACTATTTTTTTACTACACATCTACATTTGCCAATTTAACCAACAAAAAAAATAAAAAATAATATGCGATTGACATTTTAAAAAGGCGAAATCAACTTTGCTTAAAAGGGGAATAACCTCTCTTTATTTAGTTGCATTCTGATAATCATCTAAGTAAAGTTATAACGTATAAAAGGAAACAGGAAAACGAAGATTCATGGAGTAGTAAATGTTTTAGATGAGCTTACGCATTGTAACCACGCAATGAATTTAAATTTGGTTATGATATCTTAAAGTTAAAGTAGGTAAGCTTACTTATCACGAAGGAATATTATATTAGGCTTAGGCTTTCGACGAACAACTTTCGACGTTCGACTTTTCACTTCACTTTACTTTATTACTTCAGTGTCACTTTAGACTTAGACTATTTTAATTTTAGGCTAGTCTCTAGTCTTTACTAACGCTTTACTAACTTTAGCCTACTCTGCTAGGCCTAGGCTTAGGCTAAGTTGTAATTGTAAGTTACCGAGACGAGTAAAAAAGTACTGTAAGGTAGGTTTCGTACTTTGCCGTACCCTACTGAACGGAACTAAATCACACTACTTTCTGATAACACAAGTATTTCATAACAGTCATAGACATAGGGCATAGGTCATAGACAATCACAAAGAGAAGAGAGGGGACAAAATTCACTTATGACAAAAATGTATAGGGTATCCGGTAGGCCTATGGACTATGGCTTATGCCTATGCCTATAGCCTTTATTATACTATATTAAATAAAAGTGAAAATTTGTTTGTGGGTTTGTTTGAGTTTGAGGCACATGAAATACTCACACTCACATACATGATACATGATACATAATAACATATCTACATTAGTCTACATGCTGTGATGGATCTTGACCAAAATTTGAACATATTATATATCCATCATTAATCATTATCCGGAAGGAACTCTTGGGATTTTTTAAACTTTAAAATATATTTTGTTTGGGGCCGGGGGCCCTGAATTCATTTTTTTTCTTTATATGAGGTATATAAATATTACAATTATAAATAAAATAACCAACAAATACTCCTAAATGAATTGATGGATCTTGACCAACCTAGTACACATACACATGATTATGCATATTCAAATACAGAAGGGTACTGAACTCATAATATCCATTTCTCTGGGGCCCCGTTTCATTTTTCCTTATTTAAGCTATATAAATATCAATATTATTTTTATATGTGTAGACAACACTATAAGTTCTATATGAATTGATGGCTCCAGGCCTAGCTTTGTAGCAACATCATCATTGTCTGTATTGAAATATCGGTGGAGTGAAAACTAATAATATCCAATCCATTCAGGGCCAGTCTAGACTTTTTTAGAAAGTTCAGTTATTTAAAAATGTTAGATCTATGGCATTTTATTTTACAGATTTTAATGGGTTAACTTTTAAATTTTAACTTTGTTATTTATCTGACTGATTTTTATAGGCCTCCCTATCTCAGGCAAAACTAAATCAGTCTACAATCATGGAATGGGCCCCCGTCTGCGACCCTCTTTCAACTTAAATTAACTATAGTTATAATAGAGCATTACATTGTTTAATTTTTGGTATTCGAATATAATTACATAGAAAAATCATTTTTTACACATTTTGAGGAGGATATTAAATTTAATCTAGAAAGTTCCAGAAAGTTTTATATTGTTAGATCTATACGGAAATATAAAAATGGGATCTAAAAGCTTTTTTAAATGTTAGTTTAGTTCTGTTAATTTTTATACTATCGGGATCCCACTAAGATCAGGATACCACTGGGTTCAGGATACTAACTTGATTGGGATCCCACCGGGATCAGGATACCGATGGGATTGGGAAACTACTGGCAACTGGAAACACCGGGAATGTGATCCGATTTGGAAACATCTCATCGGTAAGGGATTACATAGGGATCCCATCAGGATATGGAATCCCTTAGGGATTGGGGTATGGAATCCCACTTAGAAACGGGATTCTATTTGGGATCAGTGAAGGGATCCCATTTAGATAGGGATCCTTTTGGGATCGGCAAACCCGGACCACGCCGGGTATATTGGCTGGTATAATGTACTGTATACTAAACATTTTAGGCTGCTGCTATTCGGACCTGGGATTATATGTTTGTAAATGGTTGTTTGTAAATCCGAATAATAAAGGATGTTTGTAAATCCGAATAGCCATTTAGAGCTGCTATTTGGACTCGGGTCCCATTAGACTAAATGGCTATTTGTATGTCATTTTTCGTAGTGTATTTTAGTTAAACTGAAGAAGTAAGTTTACAAACATATAGTCCATTCAATTATCTTTCATTTGATACCAAATTTTGTCCTACAAACCCAACAATAATATTTTAAATATTTTTTAATAAAACCAACTTCTCACCCTTTTTTGGGTCCGAATAGCCACTTCATACATTTTAAAGTCAATGTTCTTAAATTGTTTAGTTTGCAAGTGCCCAAACACTTAACAATGAGGATGAGTAACAACTGGCCTTAGTTAACAATGAGTAACATTATTATTAAGTTAAGTTTAAGAGTACTATAACTAAAATAACTAGCTTTAAAAAAATATTTTACCCCCCTCCCCCCCACAATCTGTCACAAATCTTAGACACTGCGCCCCCCCCCCCAATTAAATTATATCACAATTTTAACTTAACTTAAACTATTGTTTAAACAATAACAGCTTCTTAAAAAAAAAATTTTACCCCCCCCCCCCCCCCAAACTTTCACAAATCTTAGACCCTGCGCCCCCCCCCCCCCAATTAAATTATATCACAATTTTAACTTAACTTAAACTATTGTTTAAACAATAACAGCTATTTAAAATTTAGTTTAAAACTACAACATACGAATTTGTGACGCTTCGTGACGGGGAGAGAGGGGCCTTTAAAGGTAATTTTTAGCGTGACATAATTCAATTCACGAATGACCCTTTACTAAGGACAGAAATTTAAACGTTACTGTAATTGACATTTTATTTGTATGATAAAAAATATAAAATGTGTGACATTGCACAAGATCTTTACCCTCCCTCCTCCATGTCACAAACTGTCAAACTTTCTTAGACACTCTTTCTGGAGCGTGACATACTTTATGGATGGACCCTATACTATTACTTATTATTACTACTATTACTTTGACTAAATATTAAAAGTTGTAAAAGACAAGACTCAAAAGGACAGCTCGTCAGCTAGACCTTATAAATAACTTGGTGAACTTGAATCTCTTTGAAGTAGGCTACAACTATAATTCATGGGTTTTCAAACTTTTATCTTATTCTCCTTAGTTTAGTAACTAATTTAGTTTAATTTAGGGCACAATATTAAAATCATTATGGTCTTTATTGATTTAAATAAATGGAAATGTTTTTTTTACATATATTGTATATATATATTGTACATATTCATTTTCAGCACATAAATAAATTCACATTTTTAACCAAGACAACATTTTACAATTATAAGAATTTAACCACAAGATGTTTTAAGTATTTCTCTAGCATAGAAATGAATACAAGTGAACTCCATTAGTGACAATAATGACTTAAGTTGTGACTATTTAGATTTGGTCATCGCTGGGAAAAGCATGGTGGTAAATTCATTCAGAGTGGGGAACAACATTTTTTTTATATCTTTCGGTCCTAACTTTAAGAGAAAGAATTCATCCTGATCAAGCTGATCTTAGGTATTTGTGGATAAGTGGGAGGGATGTATCATCAAAAAAATTGTTAGTTTACAACAGCATTTTCCTTCAAATTAAATAGTTCTTCACGTGAAGGCTGTTTAGTTAGTGTGATATGACTAGCTTTCTTGATTGGTTATTTAATAGGTGTTTGATGTCAGATCATGAATACCCACACCAGCACGTAATACTTGTTTAGTAGGATTTAAATTGTTGCACATTGTTGAATAAGTTTATAACTTGTCAGTTTACGCTGAACATTGTTGAATAAGTTTATAACTTGTCAGTTTACGCTGAAATTGTACAGTTTTTCAAGATAGAAAAGTCTTTGGTTGACTTTTTATATACAATCATGGTCATGTTCATGCCATGACAGCTTATTATTAATGGTGTCACCATTAATAATAAGCTGTCATGGGTTCTATGTTTTGATTATTTATTATTATTATTTATTAAAACTGCTAAGGTTAAGTGTATGTGCAAAACAACGTAGCGATTGTCCATTAGGAGGTCCGCAGAGATGTGTGGACGGGGTATTAGTTCAAATCCGAACAAGGGGGGTGAGGTTAAAGGGTCTTGTGGATGTTTGCAACCTAACTGTTTTTTATACACTGCTTTAGGCCCATTGCATGTGTTCCTCTATGGCTTATCTATCGGCGAAATTAAGAAAAAAAATAATCATAAACAACCAAGAATTTAGTAAAAATTTCACAAAGGAGATTTTTCTTAATATTGCGTTGCCATTTGTCCACAAAAGTAAACAAGCACATTTTTTCTCCAGTTAAAGTTAATCAAGTTAATCATATTTTCTGCTGACCACACCCCGCCCTGGGTACCAGTACACATAATCTCCAAAATCAACAACCCCTCTCTCCTTCAGTGCGTACTTAATCAAATGATGAATCCATATCATACTGACTTAGAAGCTTAAATCTAGTGACTATTTGCTTTTTATAATCGTCATTATACTTTCTGGCATTTAGTACTGTAAATTTCTGTAAACACATGCAGACATCTGCAACTAGCAGAGGGAGGGTAAGCCACATGTGGACAAGAGGGAGTGGGGGGGGGGGTATAAAAAATGTCTATTTTATACAGACGTCCTTTATGGGAAACCCCTTAACTATATAAAGTCATGACGCGTGTGTTTTTTTTTTTATTAAACATACACATTTTTATGTTATTTTAACAATACCGAATAATTACATGAACTACCAAACCTTAGTTTTAAACCCTTCATTAAAATTAAATCATCAATAATTTTTAATTAAAATTCTTGTTTGTCTTATGTCAGTCACTTGACAGCACTTGTAGAAAAGCCTTTAAAACAATGAAATTTCAGTAAATTTCTGAGAAGCTAGGAAACTGAAATTTGGGTCTCCATATTGTGTATCTTAACATAATTATTGCTTGTATTATGTGTCATTCAATTAGTATGTAAAGTGTAATATTTATTTTAATATCTCAACCACTAAATTAAATGATATAATTGTTATTCCACTTAAATTATGTTGGTAGAATTTTTTATTTGCTTGCCTTTAAAATTAACTTTTTAATATCCAGTGTAATGATGATTTCAGTCGGGTCTTATGTTGACATTCAGCTCCTGTGTTCCCTTAAAAACCTCTTTGTATGGACATCAGCTGTGAACTACTGGTATATCCATCATAAGACACTGGTTAGACACACTGCTTTAAAGCCACTGGTACATATTTTAGACTACATTATAAATATGAACAATCGGTTGCTGAGTTGGCTTATTAAGTGATCAAGTAATTTTGTTTATTTTGTACCCTTGTTACTTAGCTGTTAAGGTTTCTTCAAAACCTTTTAGTCTTTTTAGTTTTCATTTGTGCCTCTAAAATTAACTTATACAGTTTTGAGTTAAATTTGATTGAGAAACAATTTATAAATGGTTTACAGAATTAAAGTTAAGTTCACCAAATACAATTTTTTTTTATATTACACAGGTAAATCTTTAAGAAGATGTCTGTTTGGCCTTATACAGAAAGAGCAATTTTGGAAACTCTTGTGGCAATAGACAATGAGCTGCATGAAGATGATGTAAAAAGCCTCATATTTTTATCAGAGCCCTCTGTGCCCAAAAAATATGGCTCAAAATTTAAAACAGGCCTTGAATTATTTGAGGCTCTAGACAAGAGTATAAAACTATCTCAACGCTTTTGTGTACTGGTGGAATTACTAAATGTAATTGGACGTGTAGACCTTGCTGAGAAAGTTAAATATGATCTAAATGTTAATTGTAATGGCTATTGTGGTGTTACACACGTCTGTCCATTTCGTGTTTTACTCTTTCATCTCAGTGAAGAGCTGGGAGCAGATGAACTTAATAGTCTCAGGTGTGTAGCTTAATTAAAAATATAATTTGCCTAAAAGTGGTGTTAAATAATTGTTCAACAAGATAAATTTCAAAAGATATGTCATGGCTTTACAAAAAACACTACACTTGATATATGCATAGCTAAATTATGATATCTCCACTTCATTCCTCAGGTATTTATATGAAAAATTGCCTAAGAAGGCAAGCATAGAGATGGGAATCGATTTGTTCTCCATTATGCTCCAACACATGACTTTGACACCACAGAATTTGATCAAGTTGGAGGCTATGCTTCACGCTATAAAAAGAAATGATCTCCTTGATAAAATCATTGAGTATAAAAGTAAATGAATATTTATCTTTCTTTAAAGTTGATTGAATCCTTAAAAACTACATAACAAAATATGTTAATTATTCTTGAAAATGATGAATAAATGAATGCAATTAATTTTATTTATGCTATTTTTTTTTTTTTGAAAGAAGAAATATTTTTTTACAAATTTTATGATTTTTTAATACATAGAAGAAGAAAAAATGCCCTAAAGAACATTTTTTTAGACCAGATAGCAAAAGTTTTATGATTATTTTAAAATTGAAATGTAAGTCACAGACAAGGATTTTAAGTTGTTAAAATGTATTTGTTGACAGATATATAGGTCAAAGCAGCTTTTCCTTGAACCTAAAATACAGGTACAGATGCAGGTAGCTTGTGTCTGATCTGTGCTTTCCCATTTTTGGGTCCATTGGTACTGAAGGCAATTTTTGCTTTCCTTGCTGTGCGCTTTCTTTGGGGATGAGTAATACATTTTCACCCTGAAATGTGCTCCAACAGAGAGTCTGCCAGATCAGCTTGTGCAATACAAAGTTAGTTTCTCACATGAGCTCAGGTCGATGTCTATGGATTAGAGAGACTTTTATGTAATCTTTGAAGCGTTTTTTTTCTGCCCACCGCTGAGAGTTTCCATTTGGAAAGTTCACAATACATTGTTTGTTTAGGCAGTCTGCTTTCTGGCCTTCTCACAACATCCCCACCCCATCTGGCTTGTCCTTTTTTTGTAAGAACCTGTGTTTGCTAAATATTCATGTGTAATAACACCATAAAGGTTGTCAAAAATAGTATTATTTCCTAGGGCCCGTTAGGCTAACTGATATTGTCCTTGTCACTTCAGGGCATAGCAGAAACAGTTATCCTTCATCAGCACAGGTATGTCTATTTCGCTCATCGTTTATTTTTATACCTAACAAAGCAGCCTTTTATGTCACTAGCTTTTTTAACCAAAATTAAGTATTGCGATGTCATTCTCAATTCATCTATTTTACTTTTCACACAACTATACTTATATTTTTTTTCCTTAAAAAAACTTTATGCATATTTATTAAAAAATCTTGGAATTATAACAATTTTGACAAAACTTTCTTAAAAAACAGGGATATGATTCAGTCCCAGATGAATGTTACCACCAATGCGTTTTAGGTAATTTAATAGATTTACTCTTTTTATTTTATTTTTAAAATACAAAATCTTGTATCTATCTCACTATTTACTTTTTTTGTATTAATTTTTTTAGAATAATGAAGTGATGTTCCATATAGTTGATGGTTGTTGTCAAACTAAGTATTTAAATATGCTATTAATAAAGTTAAAATATATTTTAAAGCTGTCTGTGAGCACTTTTTTTGTTGAAATGTTTATGGACATAATTTAAGTAACATAAATTTTCTTCTTATATTTCTATTTCAGAAAGTTCTGGATCAAGTCAACAATTGGTTTGTGAACTCATTTAGTTGCTTAGTTTACAATTACAGAGTCAACTTGAATAACTCTATCGTAGAACTTTCTTTTTTTTTTTATGCAGAACACTATTGTTAACAACCTTGGCTATCATAGCATAGATCATCTAAGAAATTCAACCTTGGTAAAGCGTGCCACCCTGGTTAGTAGGGTGGGTCCCAAAATTAACCACAACAACATGGCATATCTCCAATGGTATTTTTCAATTCAAGCATAACTGACCTGTAAACAGAATTGTGCCAGGGATATTTGCTGTGTGCAATTTTTTCAAAGTAGTTTTTTAATTTGAAGAGAAGTATCAGCATAGGCAATTGAAAACCAAGTTGACAAGAATGCTGCTTATAAGTTAGGTGCATATTACCTTCAATGATTTCAAACATCCTCTCAGTTATAAAGCTAAACTATTAAATGAAGGCCAAACACTTTTTTTTTAACATCCCTTAATAGTCAGATGATCTAGAGAAACCAACAGAGCCAGTTGACCTACCGATGATAACAACTGAACTAACAAACTGGGATGAAGGTATGTGTCCTAACTTTTATATTTAAATTTTTCGATATGGGGTAGCATTTTTTGTTGCTGTAAGAAAAAAATTATTTGTTTTTTATAACGACACTGTCTGAAGTCACTTGAAGAAAACAAACATAATAAGTGGAAGCTTGCATTGGTAAAAAAAAAAATAAAAAATTCCTAAATTGTACTTTGTGCCTGCTTCACCTGGCTTCATCCTTTATTGATGTGTTGTCTTGTTACCTTTATGGCAGACATGCCAGGAGCATGTGAGAGTTCAGGAAGTCTATCAAGCGCTGAACCTCAAGCTTTAACACCAGATCCTGTACACTTTCCTACAACACTCCCCCAACTTGCATGTGAGTCATGGTCTCAAATTTATTTTCAGCAAAAGTTTTCTGTCATGTTTATTATGGTATATATACCTGCAAATGTGAACAATTGTCTGGCTTTTGAACAAGACTTTGCATATTTGAGTTTTATCCAGAGCCTTAGCCAGCTATTGGTATGTAACAAATAGATAGGCATAAATGGAGGAGGTGAGCCTCAAGTTAAAAACTGAAGTCTTTAAAAAAAGGCTGCCAGTCTGGTGTGGGATAAAAATCTGTCATGTTGATGACGCGTGGCCTTACCATTTTAGCCACAATTGCTGAAATAAAAATCTGTTACATAAACAAAACCCCCCCCCCCCCCCCCCTTAAAAAAAAAAAAAAAATTTTTAAATTCTGCAAACTTTTCATTATGAATATTTATGACAAGACTATGATTTGGTGCTTTGTTATTATCCCTAAGCATAGAGAGAGAGCACATCAGTTAGCCGCATTAAACTGCCTTATATTGAAGATTTAGATTACCTGGTAGTTAAACGAAATGTTTGTTTTTTGTCAGGTGGGAAACATATTTTTAAAATGACATCACGTTTAAAAATACAGAGAAATCAGTGGATTTAGCATGTCATCTATCATAGATAGATTACGATTTACTTATTTTACTATATAAGTGGTTATTATCATCGGTTGCTGTTTTATAAAGATTCTCGCTCCAACAGCACCTGATTTGCCCAGTCACATAGCATCTCATTTGCCCAGTCGCACAGCATCTCATTTGCCCAGTGCCACAGCATCCCATTTGCCCAGTGTCACAGCATCCCATTTGCCCAGTGTCACAGCATCCCATTTGCCCAGTCTCAACACTCATGACTTTTATGAGGCTCCAGAATGTTACAGGATGGATCATAATCCCAGAGGTACATGTTCTTAGCCACAAGTTAGCTAAAATGGGGTTCAGCCAGGCCTGTTTATTAATCAGATCAGCCTAAGTCCTAAGCTACTAATAGTGTGACTTGCATTTGTCAAGAATTGATTCAAAACTTGATATGTCTGAGATTTAATATTCAGCATTGTCAAGTCTTACATCCAGTTGATCCCAGTTTCTTTGGGAATGTCTTCTTCAAAGTTTTTAGAGCTCTTCCTTGATTCCTCTTTTCCTTTGGTTTCATTCAATTGAGAAATTAGCTGTAGATTGATGTGGTGGGTGTAGGCTGTGCCTTACTATGGCAGTTCTGGTTTGTTCACTGCTATTTGCACTGTGAATGGAGTAGCTATTTGTGAGGGTCTCTTTTTCTAAATGTCCAAGGAATTTTTCATTCCTTACATGATCACAATGGCTGATCCCAATTGTCTTTCTAAGGTAACTTTGATGGAAAACATTCTGGGCTTTTTTTTTTTAATCATTGAATATGTCTTGCTGGCATTAAAGACAGTTGGTACTGTGCTTCAGATATTTAAACTCAGTTTAAATTGTATTAATAGATTTTTGCTCTGATTAAAATAAAACACACCCTTTGAAATTTTACTTATCTTCCTCCCAACACTAATCCATACATCTATTTCAATATTGTCATACAGCAGATAGTTCTGTATTGGAAGTAAATTTATTGACTTCAAGAATCTTATCACAGTCTTTGCTCTTCACTTTTTCTTTGAATACCGGTACATGAAAATTTTAATAGGTCTTTAAAGCAAGCTAGTTCTCTCTAATGGAGGACCATTTTTGATGCTGAAATTTTCATTTTTATAATGAAGTGGTCATAAAGCTGAATAGAAAGAGGGAAATGATGCAGCCCTGTGATACACCAGCCTCAATATGAAAGAATTCAGTTTGTCCAAAGCCTGTTTTGCCTGTTTTTTTTGGTGTTGGATTATGGCGGAGGGCTTTAAGAAGCCCCTTACCTTGATATTTCAGCACCATTTTCTAAAGTGATTCCCAATAAATACAGTCAATAGCATTTTTGAACCCTACCAAGTTTTTGTTTGAAACTTTTTCATCTAAATTAAATCATTTTGCTCACATTAAAATTCACTGTAAAACTATCACTATGAGTTATATAATTTACAATGAAAATGAATTCATTTTCTTACATATGTTAAAAGACAGAGCATGCTGTTTTACAGCCAATTGTTGATGTCAATTCTGCATTGCAGGAATCTGTTTGATCATTGACAACCAACACTTTCAATTTAATCCCAATGATGAGGAGGCAGCGCAGTTGGGAGACAGAGCAGGATCTGAAAAAGATTTAGGTATTATAAATGTTCTATTCAGGGTTAAGGGTAGGGTTTCTCATTTCCCATGTTTTTGGTTATAGTGGGAGAACAGTTCAAAAGTGCCTCTCATCCCGTGATCAGATTAATTCAATTAAAATGTCTTGCAAACTGAATTAAACTATTCAAGAGAGGGTTTTTATTATTGCTTAATTATTTTTTTTCAATTAAGGAATGAAAAAAGATTTAAATGTTAGTTGAGAGGTTGGTCACTTGCATCTAGTTGCCTCCATTTCTCCTGCTAAACCCTAGTAATAGATGACCAGCTAATAAAATGCTTGTTAAGCAAAAGTGGGATATGATCACCAGTAAAAAATAATCTTTACACTATATATAATGTTTGCATTTTTTACAGCATGGTTCACACGGTCTTTGACATTTTGGGAAATAATTTTTTTTTAAATTCCAGGGTCTGGAAAGATTGGGAAAATTAGCAAAAAAGTCAATCTTTGAAAGTTAGTGTAAAATTATAAATTTATATTCAAAAGAAAGAAATGTCAAAAAAGAAAATTGGCAGAAAAACCTTGAATTTTTCCATTCAAACTGACATGTGCGCATTTCTTAATGAGCCAAAATCCTAGAAGAAAGAAAAGTTTATTGATTGGTCGTTAGTTTTCTTTAAGCCAATCAAATTAATAATCTAAACAAGTGAGCGATTGCATAGTAACTTCGCCTGTTTTGACAAGGCTTGCACGTTCTTTGATAAACATTTTTGGCCTGCATTATCATTTTCTTTTTGGATTAGCAATACACGTGTGTTTTCTACTGAAAGCCTAGAAATCTGTTGAACAAATTAAATATGCCTGGAGTTTCTTCATATAAGGGTCACTTTGCCTACATATACATGTGGTCGTGATTTTAAAACGCTTGAGAGCTTGTGTAACAGAGCTACCGCACTTAATAATTCAGTGCAGTGAACTAGATTTGCCTAATTCTGGTTTATAGCAAAAATCTGTGACTTGCTGTTATTTTTAAAAAACAAGAAAATTTTATTCCCCGAAAGGCTTTTGTTTACTAAAAATCACGTGGGCTCCCGGGATCCAGCTTGAGTAACCCTAGTTATGGAATATGTAATTTTTAGTCAGACTCTTACAATGCCAATTAAAAGTTAAATTAGAGCTTTTTATTTGAAAAGTATTTGTTCCTTTCAAGTGTCCATTTATTTTTATATTTTTTTTACATACCTTTGAAAATCATATGAGTGATTTTTAAACATAATGGTTTTGGTTTTCATTAACCTCATGTAACTGCTTAATCTGTGGTTCCTGGAATTACACAAAGCTAACAATTTCAAATGCAGCTTTGTGTCGAGGTGAATTTTAATCTATAAAAATTGGTGGATACTCAATTCACTTTTTATAAATTATATGTACTTTTATTTTTAATTCATAAATGGGAGAGAAGGCAAGACTGCCTCATCCAAAATAATAAAATGTGGATGCATAACAAGACGTAATGTCCCAATATTTCCATATTTTGCACACCTTAGTAAAGGGCTTAGATTTTAATGCAAAATTATTATTTTACTCTATTTGGTGTTGTTTTCTTATTTCTATGCCCGGTTGATAAATTTAGTTAATTTTATAGCTTATACTCTGTATTTTTTATTTTCGCAACTATTAAAAAAAGTTTTAAGTTTAAATTAAAATTAACTCAAAGCGAAGAAATTCAACTTCAAATTGATAAATGCTGGTGTACCTTACTCCATTTTTTTTTTTTTAAATTGTTTTTTTTTAAATTGTTTTTTTTATTTATTTCAGAGGCCCTTTATAATAGTTTTTGCAAGCTAAAATTCATTGTGGAAATAGCCAAAGATTTGACAGACACCGGAATAATTGCTAAAGTTAAGTCTGTGACGTCTTATGATCATAGCAATTATGACTGTTTTGTTTGCTGTATTCTGTCACATGGGGGTGAAGGCTTCATTTTTGGAACAAACGGACGGAAAGTTTTAATCACAGATATTACTGGACATTTCAGGTACACATTTCAGCTAGTATAAATACTTTTGATTCAACACATTGATAAAAAAAAATTTCCTGGAATATAGAATACAACAATTACTACATTGATGACTTAATGCATATCATTTCAACCTAGAAATGGTTACCTCATACAAATCAAATAGTCTGAAGGCCATATTGTATTGTCTAGTCCAGGGGTGGGCAACCTATTTTGTGCAGAGGGCCACACGGAGATAAAAAAAAAATGATCCAGTTCAGAGCAGATCCTGCGGGGCACATTAAAATTTCAGCTGGCCTTATGAAGCCCACAGGCTATTAGTTGCCCACCCCTCAAAAATATGGGAGTTAATTCACAGGGTTTCATCTCCCAGGGGTTGGCAAGAGTGGCTAAAGAAAGCTTTAAGCTGTATTGAAATCGACCAAGAGCGAATGATAATTCTGTGTGTCATCTAATGCTTTCTTGTCTATCTCAGGGCTCAGTTCTGTCCCACACTGGCGGGTAAACCAAAATTATTTTTCTTGCAGTGCTGTCGTGGAAAGTCACATCAACAAGGTGAGGTTTATTTTTTGTTGATCTAAAAATGTTTGTCGAAAATTAAGCTTTGATTGAGGAACGTGCCAATGAGCCACAATTACACTGTACACGCAGGAATTTTTTTAAAGCCAAAATTTAATAATGGCCAAGGGCTTTTAATGTTCACAACTAATAGTTACCTTGTAAACAAAAATTGATAAATGTGATCTCAAACCACTCTTCTACTCTTGAGTCCTGCATGTGGACATTCAAGGTGATTCCCTACACTTGTATCGTCTATGTTTGGAAACAAAACAAATTTTTGTTGAAATATCAGTCTTATCATTATCAGTGTTAGTTTTAGGCTTAGCAATGAGTTGGACAAGCACCAATAAAAACGGATTGAAATTTGATTCATGAAGACATTCTAACGGCAAACTGACAATGATTAATTTAAAACACAGCCCACCCACCTCTCAAGCCACCCATGTTTGAAACGGATGCTCCTCAACTAGTGATCGATGATGAGGAGCTGATTCCCAGTGAAGCTGACTTCCTGTTCGGGTATGCAACAGTTGCTGATGCTGTGTCCTACCGCAGTCGGTCAAGTGGGACATTTTACATCAGTGAACTGACCAAAGCCTTGGACAGCTATGCACACAGGTGAGAATAGAATGGCCATAGATTGTATTATTATGGCTAAGGTGATCACTGCCAGAAGATGATTTGATTTATGGTTTAAATTTTTATTATCTGTGTTACTGATATTCCCAAAAAGAAAAGCTTTGCATCTGAAAAAAGTGAAAATCTTTGTATGGAAAAATTAAAATTATATTATTGACTTTAAAGAATCTGAGTATACCTTTTGTCAATAGAGAGAGATAGAGGGGGGATACTAATACTAGTAAATTCCCCCCCCCCCCGTGTTAATTGTTTTCAGCTTGTGTCCATCTTGTTTTACAAATGAGTTAGAATTAGAACTTTAGGTTTTCATTTTTTGTAAAAAGTCACACCACCCACCAACTACAACTACAATAGAAAAAAATGTATTTCACATTTTTTTTTACAGAGAGGACTTACTGACACTTCTTACTCGTGTGAATGATGGAGTATCTCGTCGCGTGTACTCTGAGACTAAAAATGGAGAACACATCGTGTACAAGCAAATTCCAGCACCACAGTACACCTTGAGGAAAGTGCTCAAATTTAATTAAAGGACACCGAGACAATTCTAAGTTACTGTGTGAGAGTGTTGTGGAATGCTCTACAACTCTCAACTGTATACTCTTTATCCCACTGACTGTCACAACAGATTTAGCTGCTTTTGTGGTGTTATGGCTGTAATATCAGCCTCTACTAAAAATATTTTTATTAGCATGAATCAGAAATTTGTACGTTATTTAAAGGAGAATACTCTAAGAAATTATAGAAAACTAAGGTAAATATCTCATGTGATCATTTAAAAAAAAATTTTTTATTTTGAATCTAGCTGAAATTTCAGTTTTTTGTTTTTTTTGTTAAAGCTAACTTGTAGGACTCGGATGTTGGCCCTGCCTAGCTTATTTGAATTAATTTCTTTATGAAAGTGATCTTGAATAAAGTTTTGTTGGCCTTACTCATGGTAGTGATAATCATGATAATGGAACAACAACTTGTAACAGTTCAAGTTCTAATAGTGGAAGAAGTGGAAAATAATGTACTAATGAATATAATGGGCATTATATGAAAAAAATATGAATTTTTTTTTATTTCTATAAACCCAAGTAACTTGATTATTTCTAAACTGAAAGAATAATATATGTGTCTGATAAACGTATTTATTTAGATAAGAAAAAGGACCCAAAGGTCAGTGTGGGGGTGAGTTGAAGATAGATAAACGGTAGCAGTAAACCATCAATGGAAGCAGCTATTACATTGGTGAGATGAGCAGGAAATGTGAGAGGCAATGATTAGCTGGTATGAAGACCAGCCAGCCAGTCTTGAGACTTATTATTGGATTGATGGATCGACCTTTTGTCTTTGCCATAGCACTCAGGGCTGATTGGCCCAGCCATCTCATCAGGGTTATGACTAACTTACGTTTAAACTCTGTTGGATGTATCCCTTTTAATAAATCATCCTAAATGAAGTTTTGAATCTTTGTATGCACGTAAGTTACTGGCCATATTCTGCATAATGTTGGCAAGACAGAATTGGTTCACATTATTTATTGCCTAACTTTCTTTCCATTACATTTATTTGGTAAAATCATATTTGAGGCTATAACATTAAACTCCCAGGCAATGTTGATATTTTATTGAGTTCCATATTTACCAGATGAAACATATAACAAGTGTTAGAAGGAAAAGTGATATTGTTTTCTGGTAATATTTTTGTTCAATATTAACAAATTTTAAAGTGACTTTGCTCTTTAACCTAGGCATAAAACTAAAAACTGGAATTTAACGACTCTTTGCCTTCCACTGAGCAGAGTCTAACTGCCCAAGTGTCATGCCTCATCACCTTTCCCCGTCCCATCCCAAAATCCTATGGTTAGGACCCATAGTTATTGTAAGTGAAGGGGTGGTGGTGGTGTTTTTTTTAAATCATTTTTCCCCCCTCACTCACCATCCCAACCCCACTCTCTTGACCCTTGCATGCCGGAGTTGTAACTCTGTAGCATCAACTCGAATGTGACCATACAGGTCAGCACAAGGAAGACTGAATCGGCCGAACGAAAGGGTCACATGTGTCAACGAAATGTGTACACAGCGACAAGCAAACCCCATGGATTTGCTAGTAGAAAGAATGCATTATTTTTAAAGACCCATGCCATGGAAGAAATAATTTGTAAACCAATTTTGTTATTTTGTAATAATAATAAATATTGTTTCCTATATAAGATAAGATAAGATTCTATTATTGATCCAAACAAATGGAAATGTTTTATGATTGCATTATACATTTTCAGCACATAAATAAATCAATTTGAACACAAGACATTTATAATAAATTATTTCAAACAGCCATTCAGTGAGTTCTCTTAGCCAAATTGGGGACTTATTAGTTCTCATTAAGAAGTGTGAGTTCAGAGGGAGCATGCTGGTAAATTCATACAGATTGGGGAACAAAAGAATTTTATATCTTTCAGTCCTCGACCTGATGGAAAGAATTCGTCCCGAATGGCCCGATTCTAAGTATCTGTGATGAAGAGGGTGGGATGTATCATCCAAAATTTGTTTAGTTTTACAATAACCTCTTTCTTCAAATAGTTCTTCAAGTGAAGGATGTTTAGTTTGTGTTATGTTCCTAGCTTTCTTGATTAGTCGGTTTATGCGGTGTTTAAAATGAGACGTTGAATTCCCACACCAGTAGGTTAACGACTTGCTTGTTTACGCCGAAATTGTACAGTTTTTTGAGGTATCTTGTTACATGTGTACTTTGTCCTTCATTTAGTAATGTGAAACATATTGGACTCATTTACACTACAGAATGTTTGAACTTATGTATTTAAAATAAATATAAAAATTTATCAATCATTCTGTATGACGACTTAATAATTCCATGTTGTTTGCTGTAAGTGGTGGGTGAGATGTCAGTAGTTATGTGAGATTGTGCAGGGTGGAAGAAACATATTACGGGCCATGGTAAACGCCAAGATCTGGGAATAATATGAAAAGGTTTAATGAGATGGTGCTTGTTGTTTTTGTTCCGTCAGGAATTCACAGAGACACAACTTACAAAGCATTAGTCAGAAGATGCGTCCTACAAGTGAACGCCCATACAGACATGTGTTTTCTCTCACAAATGGAATATGGCCATTGAGAGTAAATACAGGGTAAGGTGGTGCCTCTGCTAGCAATGAATGTTTTGGATTTGCATTTTATATTGAAGAGAATATATGTAACTGATGAACACTAAAACAATGGAAAGTCCTGTAAGAACTTATTGAACAAGTCTCATGAACACAGACAGGTGAAAATAACTTTTATTATAATAAGTATGTTCCTTTCATTGTTGGAGCATTGCTACCAGTAGCTCCATTAGAAGTCTGTAAAACTATTTGTAACGGAAAAACAATTTTTTATTGACTTCGCTTTCAAACAAAGTTTTATCATTTTTAACCTGTTATCGGAGTTCCAGTAGCGTAGTTGAAGTGAATATTTTTAACTTTTTGTTTAAAACAAACAACAAGAATATCACCTTTCATTTTGAATAGTTTTAAATAAGTGCCTCGAGCAGTCATGTAAACTGAAATTTAATAAGATGAAATATTCAACAATCCAAAATATCAATGATCATTCCGCCCCCTAGAATATATACGTGAGTCATGTTGTGGCATATTTAAAGCAACAAGGAAAACAATGCATTTATTAAAAACACAATACTGATATCACAGCTAACATACAAAGAGACATTCTAACAAATGATCATGCACATACATAGCCTTGCACACAAAGTAACTACAATCCAGTTAGGTGGTTGTATTAAATTTTTTTTTTCCCAATCCTCAAATGTAAGACAAAGACATACACATTTTCTCTACTTCAAAGCAGCGTAAAATTTTTTAACTTGCTTCTCTATCACAAAACAAAATAATAGGTATAGTATTACAATAATCAATATCTAAACACAAAAGAGCAATTCCATTTCCATGGATTGCAAGCACATCAATGATCTTTGATCTGCAGAAGAATCATCTTAATACATCACCTCAGTGTGTAACATTTTCTGTAAGCTATCGTACTCTTAATCAAAGATTTCTCCACACATTGGTTTACCCTTTGTGATCCCTAGGCTCCTAATTCTACAATACCCATGTCCCTGGGCTCCTGTGGAAAATTTCAACAAACTGACACACAAACCAGCAAAATCACATCATTATATACACATAGATGATTTTCATTTACCCTGACTCACTGTCAATCTAAGGCAGTGGTTCTCAACCTTCCTAGTGCCGCGACCCTTTAATACAGTTTCTCGTGTCGTGGTGACCCCCAGCCACACAATTATTTTCGTTGCTACTTCATAGCTGTAAGGATATGTGTTTTTAGATGGTCTTAGGCGACCCTTGGAAAAGGGTCCCGTGACCCCAAAGGGGTGGCGACCCACAGATTGAGAACCGCTGATCTAAGGTAAGGTGTGGGAGACCGAAATATCGGTCTGGCGGAGTGTGAATTCTTAATGCTCAGACCGATAAAGCGGGTTGCCGGGTTCAAGGGTTAGCGCATCTAAATTCATTGTCCACCAGATTTTATCATTTCATAAATTTGTCGTAAAATGACAGAAATTATATTGTAAACACGTGAAAGACTGTACAAAAATTTAAAGCTAAAAAAATATAGTATCCTGCTTCAGCAATAATCAATAAGAAGAAACATAAACATGAAAGTGTAACACTTACACAAAATTCAAAAAGGAAATCGGAAAATAAATTTAAATTCTCTTATAAAATGGCAGTGACTAATGGCTCCAAATAGAACTGGGACTAATGGCTCCATTTAGAACTGAAGAGTTACACTTGCACACATTCAAAGTCCTGAAAGAGCTGCACTTGCACAACTTAAAGACAGCTATTGGATCATGTTGATACGCCAGCCTTGCCAGCCTTGCGCTTCTCACCAGAGGTTTTACGGTAATCAAACAGACTTAGTGCTTTGACATCTTTCTCATAATCTAAGGACTCCACAAACAGTTTGGCCACCTAAACAGAATAAATATTTAGTGGCATGAATTGAATGGGAATAGATTTATTGCATGCTATTTATTTTCTACAATGTAATTTAAGAAGGGAGTTCTGTTTAATAAAATGACGAAAAATTAAAATTTTAAGACTGAAATAACTAACTGGTATTATCAGAGGAAAGTACTACCGCTAAGGGAAAGTACTACCGGTATTAAATTCAAAATTATCTCCCCTTCACTCTATAACTATATGGTTGGATTGGGGTAAAAAAAAACTGTCTCAAAAGACGTTCCAGGAACTGAATTTGTGATTTTGGATGATGATCTATAAAAGCCTTTGAAATTAATAATCACTTTGTAAAATTGTCCAACTGTAATACTAATAATAATAGTAAACTTAAAATGATTTCACTGCTTATTTTCAAATTGAACTCTGGGAATTTTCAAAGCTCATCTCTAATGATTTACAGATACATAAAAACTAGAATTCTAGATTCCTAGAAAAAAACTCACAAGACGGCAACTAAAGAATTGAATGTTGCACTCACCTCAAAGTTTGTAATGAGTGGCACACCTGAATCGACGGCTGCCCTCCTGATCAGGTAGTTGTCCTGGACATATTTCGTCTTCTGGTTGGGAAGGTTGATCACTAGGTCAATCTTCTTGTCTTGGATTAATCTGTAGAGAAATATGCAACCACAGTTAATGATAGGGATGTTGTCTACTGATGATAGATATATTCTGAGATCATAATCTTTCTATCATGAGCTTTTGATGAATCATCAACCCTGGAAGTGGCAGACTTGAGCAGTTTCCCTGAGTTTGAAAACTCCATTCAATTCAAGGGATGAACATTTTGCACATTAAAAAAATGCAACTAAACTAAGGCATTTTGCTTTCAGAGCTGGATTTGGTTGACGCAAGAGGAGGGGCTTAAATTAACCCTTCCACATTTTCAATTAAAAAAACAAATTCATGGTATGATGTCATTACCCACTAAAATATAATTTTTACTGACCATCAGTGATTTGATGAAAGCGAGAGTTAAAGAATGGGTCAGCTGCCTATATCTGGTCAAATTTAACTCTGTGAAAATAATTTTTACAAATTTCATGCAAACCGATGGAATTCTTGGAGTGTGCCTAGGATAGAAACCAACGCTCTTCCGCACCTTATGACAGCCAATCAATGCAAGAAATGTTTATAATAGTTCAGCTGTTTTTGGCCCATAAATCCTTGTATAAAAACTTAAACTTACTTAATAGGTGATGGAAAGTCTCCCTGATCTTCTGCTGTCCAACTTACTGGTGTTGTTGGTATGTAATGGATGTCCAGATATTCAGCCGTTCGTTCAGTAGCAAAAATCTATCATGTTTAAATGAGTATAAAATTGAACATAAATAGGAAAGATTAATCCAATATGCTGTACTGTTAACAGTTACAGGATAATAAGAATTAACAAGTGATGTGAAATAATAAAAAAAAGATATGATTAAATTAATGCCTTTTTTTTTTTTTAAAAGTACTATCTTTCTGAATTAATCTGATGAAAGTATGAAATTGTTTTCTTTTGTTTACCAGATATGCCACAAGATTTTTTAAACTGCTGATACTTAAAGAAACAAAAATTAGCATTGCTTTTTTTAAGGTTAAAAAACCCTTGAGAGCTGTGATGTTCATGGGTGGTACAAGTCACCTGATATCCTTTCTGACTGAGTTGTTTGGCCAATGGTAGGAAGAAGGGGTAGTAACTCTTCTGAGCCCCCACAAGAATGTTGCCTCCCTTCGGGGGTATCTTGAATCCTGCAGACATGAGTGCCTTGAGGAAAGCGGTGTACTTGGTGCGCCCAAAACAGGCCACCTGGACAACAACCAAAAAATCATTGGATTAATATTGGAAGAATTAGAATAGAAGAATATGTTCTGTTCACTTTTCAAAGTATTATTATATTAAAATATTTGGAGGTTTGTGTTCCAAAGACAAAGTGTAAAAACACAAATATTAACAAGTCAGATTTCTTATTTTTAGAAAACTTTACCAGTTTTAGTTTTAAAATAATTTTTGCCTCTTTTTGAATAAAATTTTAATTCCATCAAAAAAATATTTGTTCTCAAACTTAATTGCCATTAGCCTATTAAATTTAAACAGATGAATCCTTAATCTCCCTTAAATATAGTTTCTCCCATAAAATACATTTCTCCTATTAAGTACAGGTAGCTTACATGTTTACTGTAACTATCTATGGAGCATAACCAACAGGAGCCCAACTGATCAAACTTAAATGCCCTGTCTAAGGATCCTTGCAGCTAATTTTATGTTCAGTTATAAAAATACCTCTCCAGTGGATGCCATTTCACATTTCAAAACTGGGTCGGCATCTCTCAACCTTGGCCAGGAAAACATGGAGGCCTTTGAAATACATCAGGAATAGTAACAGCATTAAATATTTTACTAATACCACTTATATACTTATATAATATTAGCCATTCTTCACAATTAAGTCTTCTCTTTTATTTTCATTAAATTAATGTCAGAGTTTTAGAAATTTTGAAAGTAAACTGATTGTTATTTGAACACCTTCAAATGTTTGCTACATAAAATTGACAGAATATTATTCTTTTTAAAATTATTTTTAGATTTTGAAGATGAAATAAAAAGTATTATTTTTTAAATACATTTTTTGTGTATATCCTATAATTTCTTGAAAAGTAAAACGTTTAGTATGATATCAAACACTGATTTCAATTAGACTCTTGGTATGCATCAAAACCTGTTGATTCCCACCTTAATTCCAACATAGTTGGTGGGATCATGTGAATTGTCAAGGGTTGGAAGATCTTGA